TCAGCAAAGCCATTTTCTTCATCTCTGGAGAAAGGAAGAGGCACAGCTGGATGTTACAGAACCATTCTCCTTCCAGGGAGGTGGCATCATCATGAGGCAATAATGGTCAAAATCATGGATAAAGATTAGGAAATCATATCAAAGTTTGGGATTAGCCAGGACCTTTCCTCCTCCAAACAGCCCCTACACCTGAATTACCCCGAGACCGGGAAATTGCAGGGGGTGTCAGGGTGTGCATGGCCAGTGCTGCTGTTTGGGCTCCCTGTCAGCTGATGCCAAATGCCTTCCTGCAGAGGCTGGGGAGAAGCTGCAGCCAGGCCAGGCTGGGAAACAGCCCTGCAGGCCGTGAAAGCAGCAGCGGGGCAGTAAGGCTGCTTTGGATCCCTTCCTGCTGTGCTGGGCACGGCGTGTCCAGATGTGCAGAGAAAGGCCCTGGCTGCTGAGGGAATTACACCCACCACGGTGTGTCTCCAGATCACTCAACATCTTGTCTAGAAGTCGGGATGCCTCCAGGGATTTCCCGTCTTCTATGTCTTGGTTCGTCCATGTAGGAGGACCTGAATGGAAAGCAATTCCATTTCTCCCTCAGTCCTGAGGGGCTGGGAGTGCACCTGGATGACTGCTGCCCCCCAAGGCACTCCCTCATCTCTGCCTTCCCCTCAGGAGCAGGGGCAGGGGGAACCACGTGCCTGCAGTGGCCTCACACAGGGATGGAAGGAGCCCCTTGCATGGCAGTCAGGGGAGAAAGAATACCCTGGAGCTGCCAGAAACTCTGAACTGAACCCCAGGCAGGGCCAGGGCTTGACAGCGACAGCGGGAGCAGCTCAGGTTCCCTGGGGCTGGCAAAGGAGTCACACAAGGCACAGCCCCAGGGCACAGCCCTGGCCCCTTCCCTCTTGCTCTTCTCTGTGGCTGCACAGAGCACACGGAAGGAGACACTGGCATTGCACATGGGAAGGAGATTGACAGCTAAATGCTCCTTCCTCCCACTGACAGTGCTGTGTGGGATCACTCAGGGCTCCAGAAGGGAGCAAGGTGAGGTTTCCACAATCCATCAATCTTCAGACTCTTAAGGGAAATGGCACATGAGTGAGCTCTTGCCACATTGACACTGATTATTCTGTGCAGAAAGAGACACTGAAAACTTGCCTCCAGTATCTGGCAAAGTCTTCAAACCACCACTGACCAGCATTTCCATGTACTCCATGTCACGATCCCAATCTAGAAGGGAGCAGAGATCAGAACCATTTCCATGGTGTGCTTGCATCCGCTTCAGACTTAGGGAACTGGGCACTGCAAGGGGTTTGGGTAAGGCTGTGGGAGCCACATTGTCAATGGACATGGCCAAAGCTGCAGAGGGGTCTGGGGAACTCTGGGCTGCCTCCTGGTCACTCTCAACACCCTTTCCATGCTCTGTGAAACATCCCTGAAGGGCAGGCACTGCCAAGCAGCAGAGATGTACAGGTCAAGCCTCAGCAGGGCTCAGGCCCAGGGACACAGCAATTACCCTCTGAGACTGTGCCTGGCATGGCCTCCCTTCCTGCAGCAGACGCTGACCATGAGCCACTGTTTTCTCTGGGAAACACCGCCTTCAGCACAGCTTTCTGGTCCTTCTCTGGAAAAAGAAAGTTTTACAACCGGATCAGATGGAACTGTGTCACAGATGGGAGGTAGCATTTTCAGGAGTGAATGCTTGTCAAGGACATAGATAAGGATTAGGAAATTATATCAACTTTTGGGATTGGTCAGGACCCTTCCTTCTCTAAACACCCAGCATTCCTGGTGTACCCTAAGATGGGGAATTGCAGGGGATCTCAGGGTATGCATAGCTGAGGTGCACTTTGGGCTCCCTGTCAGCTGATGCCAAATGCCTTCCTGCAGAGGCTGGGGAGAAGCTGCAGCCAGGCCAGGCTGGGAAACAGCCCTGCAGGCCATGAAAGCAGCAGCAGGACAGCGAGGCTGCCATGGATCCCTTCCTGCTGTGCTGGGAACGGCGTGACGAGATGTGCAGAGAAAGGCCCTGGCTGCTGAGTCTCAGGAGAAGGATGAGGGACATGGACCCACCTTGTGCTCCCTGCAGCATTTCCTTCAGCATTTGCTGCATGGTATTGGATGGCTCATGGGGTTTTTTGTGTCCAGTAGCTTTGTTCCTTCCTGTTGGAGGACGTTAGAGAAAAATTTCCCAGGAATGGATTCCACAAAATCATTGCTCATCCAGTGGTGTCAGCAGGGACACACTACTCACCCCTGTGATGGGAGCTAGGCTTGTGTGCAGCATCCTGAAAAGTGTCTGGGAAAATCCTCCCTGCAGACACACCTGTAACTCAGCAGCCACAGAAGCTTCTGTCATCTCTGCTAGCAGGATGACTTTTGGGCTCTGAGCTGGCAGCATTCCCAGGGGGAAAGGCCTTGACCTACCCTCGCCATCTCCGTGAGGCTCAGTCCTGGATGTGAGTAGGGAAGCTAGATCACCTTCACCAAGGGGCTTAGCTGCAAGGAAAAGTAGGACAGAACAGCTCCTGTGGCTCTGTAGGAGATCCTCAGGCTCCCTGGGGCCAGCAAAGGAACCGTGCAAGGTACAGGCCCGGGGCACAGCCCAGGGCCTGGCCCCTTCCCTCTCTGCTCTTCTCCGTGGCTGTACAGAGCACATGGACACACTGGCATTGCACATGGGAAGAAGACTAAGAAGACAGCTAAATGCTCCTTCCTCCCACTGACAGCGATGCTGTGGGATCACTCAGATCCAGTGTCCAGATGTGCAGAGAAAACCCCCAGCTGCTGAGTCTCAGGAGAAGGCTGAGGGACATGGACCCACCTTGTGCTCCCTGCAGCATTTCCTTCAGCATTTGCTGCATGGTATTGGATGGCTCATGGGGTTTTTTGTGTCCAGTAGCTTTGTTCTTTCCTGTTGGAGGACCTTAGAGAAAAATTTCCAGGAATGGATTCCACAAAACCATTGCTCAGGCTGTGGGGTCAGCAGGGACACACCACTTACCCCTGCGATGGGAGCCGGGCTTGTCTGCAGTAAGCAACCCAGGAGCTGGCAAAGCGCTCCCTGCCCACACACCTGTAACTAAACAGCCACAGAAGCTTCTCTCATCTCTGCTGATCTGCACAGGCAGCACTGAGCTGCAGGAGAGGTGAGGGGATCACACAGGCCAAGGGCACACACGTGCACGGCTCTGTCCTGGCACCTGCAGCGATGCTGCCCTGGCTGAGCTCTGGGCTCTGAGCTGGCCGCTCTCCCTGGGGGAAAGGCCTTGACCTACCCTCACCACCTCCCTGAGGCTCAGTCCTGGGTGTGGGGTGTGAAGCAAGATCACCTTCACCAAGGGGCTCGGCTGCAAGGAAAAGTAGGACAGAATAACTCCTGTGGCCCTGTAGGAGATCCTCAGGCTCCCTGGGGCCTGCAAAGGAGCCATGCAGAGCGCAGCCCTGGGGCACAGCCCTGGGCCTGGCCCCTTCCCTCTCTGCTCCTCTCCGTGGCTGCACAAAGCACATGGAAGGAGACACTGGCATTGCACATGGGAAGGAGATTGACAGCTAAATGCTCCTTCCTCCCACTGACAGCAATCCTGTGGGATCACTCTGGGCTCCCAAAGGGAGCATAGAATGGTTTCCAGAATCCATCAACCTTCAAACTCTTAAGGGAAATGACACATGAGTGAACCCTTGTCACAATGACACTGATTATTCTGTGCTGAAGGGGACATTGAGAACTTGCCTCCAGCATCTGGCAAGGTCTTCAAACCACCATTTACCAGCACTTCTAGATAATCCATGTCACGATCCCAATCTAGAAGGAATCTCAGATCATAACTATTTCCATGATCTGCTGGTATCCCCTTTCTTCCTTAGGGAACTGGCCACTGCAAGGGGTTTGGGTAAGGCCATGAGAGCCACATTACAATGGGCATGGCCAAAGCTGCAGAGGGGCCTGGGGAGCTCTGGGCTGGCTCCTGGTCACTCTCAACACCCTTTTCATGCTCTATGAAACATCCCTGAAGGGCAGGCACTGCCAAGCAGCAGCGATGGCAGCTCAAGCCTCAGCAGGGCTCAGCCCAGATGTTGCAGTGTGTTTCTTGTTAATGGTGTTTTGTGTTATGGCGGAAGTTGCTTTTGTGTTATGGCGGAAGTTGCTGGTTTGGTCCAAATGCTGCCCTCCCACCCCACGTTGTCAATGTACCCTGAGTCTCCTGTCAATCTGCCTTAGGCCCACCACATGCCTGGAATTCCACTTCAGAAATCCCCTGAACTTCAACACTAGATTAGTCCATGTGACCTCATTTTTTCATCCACCTCCCTCATTGGATGAGGATTTTGTGAACCCTGCCTTTTACCCCACCCCACGGTATCTCTGATTAGCTGATGTTTTGTACCCTCCCTTTGAACTGCCTCCCTATTTCAGCTGTTGCATACTCGCATTTTCTGTCTTTTATCCCCAAGATTCCCCAGAGCAATAAATCCACTATTACCCCGTCCAAAAGATCTCCCTCTCATTCTTGCCTCCTCAGAGTAGAGACTGACAGTCAAAAAGCTGTAGAGCAAGTGCTCTAGTGGCACCTTGGGTCTTCCTGCTCCTGGGCTGTGACCCACTCCTGGAGGAGGCCGAAGTGATAGAGCCAGAGAAGCTCCGGCCCAATGTGATACCCAAAGGCACAGCAATTACCTCCTGGGACTGTGCCTGGCATGGCCTCCCTTCCTGCAGCAGAGGCTGCCCATGAGCCACTGCTTCCTCCAGGAAACGCCGCCTTCAGCACAGCTTTTTGATTCTTCTCTGGAGAAAGAACATTGTACAGCTGGATCAGATGGAACCATTCCACAGACTGGAGGTGGTATCTTTTGGGTCAGTGCTTGTCAAGGACATGGAAAAGGATCATGAAATCATATTAACTTTTGGGATTGGTCAGGACCCTTCCTTCTCAAAACAGCTGCCATTTCTTGTCAACCCTGAGACTGGGAAATTGCAGGGGTTCCCAGGGTGTGCATGGCCTGTGGTGCACTTGGGGCTCCCTGTCAGCTGATGCCAAATGCCTTCCTGCAGAGGCTGGGGAGAAGCTGCAGCCAGGCCAGGCTGGGAAACAGCCCTGCAGGCCATGAAAGCAGCAGAGGGAAAGTGAGGCTGCCATGGATCCCTTCCTGCTGTGCCGGGCACGGCGTGTCGAGATGTGCAGAGAAAGCCCCTGTCTGCTGCTTCAGGAGGAGGCTGAGGGACATGGACCCACCTTGTGCTCCCTGCAGCATTTCCTTCAGCATTTGCTGCATGGTATTAGATGGTTCACGAGGTTTCTTGTGTCCAGTAGCTTTGTTCCTTCCTGTTGGAGGACCTTAGAGAAAAATTTTCCAGGAATGGATTCCACAAAACCATTGCTCAGGCTGTGGGGTCGGCAGGGACACACCACTTACCCCTGCGATGGGAGCCGGGCTTGTCTGCAGTAATCAACCCAGGAGCAGGCAAAGCGCTCCCTGAAGACACACCTGTAACTAAACAGCCACAGACGCTTCTGTCATCTCTGCTGATCTGCACAGGCAGCACTGAGCCGCAGGAGAGGTGAGGGGATCACACAGGCCAAGGGCACACACGTGCACGGCTCTGTCTTGGCACCTGCAGCGATGCTGCCCTGGCCGAGCTCTGGGCTCTGAGCTGGCCGCTCTCCCTGGGGGAAAGGCCTTGACCTACCCTCGCCATCTCCCTGAGACTCAGTCCTGGGTGTGGGGTGTGAAGCTGCATCGCCTGCACCAAGAGGCTTGGCTGCAAAGAAAGGCAGGACAGAACAGCTGCTGTGGCTCTGTAGGAGATCCTCAGGGTCCCTGGGGCCTGCAAAGGAGCCATGCACGGCACAGCCCTGGGCCTGGCCCCTTCCCTCTCTGCTCCTCTCCATGGTTGCACAGAGCACACGGAAGGAGACACTGGTATTGCACATGGGAAGGAGATTGACAGCTAAATGCTCCTTCCTCCCACTGACAGCGATGCTGTGGGATCACTCAGATCCAGTGTCCAGATGTGCAGAGAAAACCCCCAGCTGCTGAGTCTCAGGAGAAGGCTGAG